TATTACAATTATAATTTTGTCCTCGGGATTATCAAAATATTATAAAAACTTACCAAAAGGTGGCCACCTGCCAGCTAACAATGACAATTCTTTTCGATAAACTGGAAGAATTGCCAAGAAACCAGTAAAAAGAAAGAAAACGATAGTCGAACAAAATTTAGAACAGGAAAGGGAAAATTTAAAAATTCATAAAAATGAATGTTAGCCGGGGATCAAATCCGGTGATCAAAAAGATCAGAGAAGTGGGATTAAAAGGAATTCAAAAGGGTATCGGTCCACAGTTCTACTCTTACTGGGAGAAAAGAGAACTGACAAGAGAAAAGCAGGATCGAAAGAACTATAAAAAAATTTTTTATAAAAAAAACGATGAAAAATGTGAACAATATAACAAACAATATAACAATAAACAAACAATATAAAAAAAACTTAGCGAATTTCCAAGGGAAAAGCCTTTCGACTAAAGAAATAAGCAAGTACATAAATTATTATTAATAAAATAAAAAATAAAGAAAATGACAACAAAATAATAATAAAATAATTCCGAGAACATTTCAAAATTAAAGGAAAGAGGGAAAAATTTTATGAGAAAATAATAATAATAATAATAATAACAATATTCCAATAAAAGGAGGCTATATATATGAACGCGAATATATATACCGATCGGCAGAAATTATTATTAATTAATTTTTTTAACTAGAAAAGTATCAGCCAGATTGAAATTGAATAAAACCAGTACAACCAAGTCAATGCCAAAGTGAAAACAAGATTTTAAGCTTAGCATGAATTTATATATCTTTGGATTGATTACAGGAATAAAATAAGTTTATTTTGTATCACTAAACTTTAGTCCTCTGAAATTTCTTGTCTCTATTTTTATTAATTATAATATAAAATTATCATTATTTTATAATTAAAATGAAATTGATAGAGGGAGTATATATATAAATTGTAGCTTTCATATTTATAATCTAAATTAATAATAATAATAATATAGCTAATGATGATGATAATAGAATCCTTACTATCATCAGATCTAAATTATAAAAAAATTTCTATTGGCACAAAAATATCAGGCAGAGATTTAATACCAAGCACAATGTACAAATTCATGAGTTTAAAATAGCGAAAGCAAAAAATGGCCAAATGAAAAATAACTGCGCAATGATTAAAATTCCTATAAAATAATAAAAATAATTTTAAATATATTATTATTTAATAAAATTAATTAAAAAAAAAAATACTCACCCAATCTGTATCTACATCCAACGCCCACCAGAACTTTTCATGGAGGGTCTTGTTGAAAATTTTAGTGATTGGCACATCATATTTTTTGCACCACACAACAGAGATCCGTGGGTCTAGGTAATGGATTTTCAATGTGCCTAATGCAGTTGTCTTGTTGTCCTCTTTATCTTGTTTTAATAACTTGGTGGTTTTAATACATTCTGTAAAATTTTCTATTTGGATTTGGAGTTTTTCACTTGTTTGTCCTTTTCTCAGATTGACCTTTCCAGATTTTTGTTCATACTTCAACACCTCTTTTTCATCAATGTTTTTTAATAATTGTTCAAGATGCTCATCAGGTTTAGGTGACTTTCCTTCTTCTTTAAGCTTTTCATTATCTCTTTCAAATTTTTTTACAACTGCCAAATGTTCCCTTTCCATCAATTGCTTCTCATGCTCAATTATCCATTCCTCTTCCATGTCTGATTCTGGTTCAAATAGTTGAGGCTCTCTTGTTTTTAATCCAGGGTCAAGATTCAACAATTCCATTTTACATCTATTTCTTTGGTATTTCAAAGCATGGACCTAACATATTAAAGAATACATACATGTGAATTTATTTAAGAAATTAACAATAATCATGATAAAAAAAAAATACCTTATTGTCAATTCTATTGATTTGATTATCATGATCTTTGCTGACGGAATGTTGATGGTTACATAAAATAGCAACCTGTCTGTTTGCTTTATTATATGCTGCTATTTTCTCTTTTACAGTAGTAGCATTCTCCTTCCCTTTCTTTAGTTCAATTTGGAAGGTACAAGATGCATTGTATGTATGAAATACTTTGATGGTTAGTTCTTTCATGTATTCAGACAAATATTCATTCAAATCTTGAGTCTAAATGAATTTTTAAAGAAAATTTGAATTTATTAATAGAACAAACACAAATGCACACACATATATGTGATTGATTAAATTTAAATCTTGTATTTTTGTACTGTTAATCTGTCAAATAAATCTTCACTGGATTCCTTATCCTTCATAAATATTTTAAGGTTTTTGAAAACTTGTTCTATTACTTCTACCGAGTTTACATATCTTACTGAATTTTTACCCAAGAAATCAAACTCAACTGTCCATGGTGTTACCAAAGTAATATGTTCACATCTGAGGGAACAACAACCCACAGTAACTGCTCCTTTGCCTGTTTTCTTATTTCCTGCTCTTAAAGCAAGCTTGTTGATAAGATACAGGGCAGTAGCACGTTGACGTACTGACTTGAGCTTATCTTTCAAATCTTCCATGTAATCCCGGCGAATTTTTTCCAGGTGCTCCTCAAGCTCCCTGGCTTTATTGAATTTTTCTAGGTCATTTTGACCTTTAGTTTTTATTTTTTTTTCTCTAATATATTAGTTAAATGTATAATATATTGGTTAAATGTATTAATGAAACTAGAGTAACGACGAGTGGCAGGCGATAACCACCACCACCATCCTTAAAACACTTACCCACTTCCTCCAGCTGCTCCAGATGTATTTTCTTGTCTTCTTTGATGACATTATAAAAAAAATTTTTAGAAAATAAGTTTGTATTTGATGGACGCGTACACATTAATTATTTATCCTATTGGTTTTTTTTTTGGTAGGACAGACGCGAAGTGATTTTTTTTTTTTTTGGAAAAACAAAAAACAATTTATTTTTTGACAGAGTTCAAGGTGACAAAACGTGAGTGTTGTTGTTTGGTTTGGTTTGGGTCTCCTAAAGAATACGTGTTAATAACTAACCAGAGGTGCTATTTTTATTTGTAT